CACCCCTCCCTCCCCTCCCCCTTCCCCCCTCTCTTCCTCTCCCGTCCCCCAGCAGTTTCTGCTCCTCAGCCTTAGGGGCGAAGGCCCAGACATGGAAGGAAAGGATCCTTGCTCTGCCTTTTTATGTTCCTGGCTGAGGCCCTGTAGGAAACAGGCCAGTGGGTGTGCAGGGGCCCTGGGCCTGTTGGTCAACCAGTGGCAGGAGAAACTAAGTTTGGTAAGGTGCCACCTGTGTGGCCGGAGCGGAGGGAAGATGTCACCCGGCAGGGCCCAGAGGCACTGCCGGCCCAGGCACCTTCCTGGCTAAAGACAAAGGCCGGGGGGGTGCGCAGGGAACTGTGTGGCCCAGGCGGCCTTTGCAGTTCCGGGTCAGCTGTCCTGTCCTCGGGGCGAGCGCCCAGAGGCTGTGCCCCACCGTGCCCCCCAAGCTCCCCCCCACCCCTCCGAGCCTCCCCTGTTCAGAGGCCCTGAGGGCAGCGTCAGACCTAGAAGCCTCCCTGCCATGGACTCCGAAGGCCAGTTTTTACGGGGTCATCCCCAGCGCCATGACGGGAGCAGGGTGGACCTGCACTCACGCTGAGACCCCAACAGGGAGCAGGGGTGGGCCGTGGGGCGCTGCCAGGTGACCCTAGAAGTCCAAGGCCTCGCCAAGGTGACCAGACCCCCAGGCCGGCTCTCCTGGCTGCAGCCTCTCCGTGGCCCCCCCGAGACCTGAGCTGGGGGGCGCCTGGGGTCCAGCCGGGCCCGGACGTGGTGACCGTCCCCAGGGCTGACCCTCCGCTGTGGCCCCAGCTCCAGGGGTGGAACCTGGGAGCCGAGCAGCCAGCAGGCCCTGAGCGGCCTCGCCTCTCCAGAGCGCCCGCCCAGGACAGAGCGGCCTCCAGCTGGCCGCGGCCGAGCGATGGACACCCAGCTTCGGCTGGGAAAGCTTCCGTCTCAAAGCAAAGGGCGCTGAGAGAACCCGGCTGCCCCGAGACACCTGCCAGGAGCCGCCCCGGGGCGCGCGGCGTGGGCTGAGCGCGGCTTCTCTCCTGTCTCGGCCCAGGTGGCGGGAAACCAGGGGAAGCCCAGGGCGATGGGGCCCGGCGTCCCGGCGGGCGCGGCCCCCGCCTGGTCTCACCCTCAACGTGAGTGCGGGCCCACGCCGGCCGCAGGTCAGAGTCAGGCTGCGGCCCTGCTCCGTGGGCGGCGCTGCGGCCCGGGCACCCAGGCCCAGCTTGGCCCAGCCGGGGGCCGCAGCGAAGCAGTCTGAGGGGGGCATGAGACTGAACCCCCTCCCCTGCAAGGAAGGCGAGCGGCAGGCGCCTGGGCCGCGGGGCTGGCGCGGGGGTGGGCTAAGGAGGAGAGCACGGCTCGGCTCGCTTCTGCCCCTGGCGGAAGGGCCGCGGCGCCTTATCGCCCGCGGGCAGCTGGCCTACGTGCCGGGCAGCAGCTGGGCCCCACGCCGGCCTGCAGGTCAGAGTCAGGCGGGGTGCGCGGGCCGGCTCTCGAGATCCCATAAATCCCGCCAGACGGGCCCCGCAGGGTCAGCAGGGCGGGGGCGGCTGTGCCCCCGTGGGAAGGCACGCAGGCCATGTCCGGCGCCCAGGCCTCCCTGGGGATGCAGATTGCGTAGGTTCCCAGGGTCAGGCAGGTGAGGGGGCGCCAGCCCCGCACTCCAGGATGTGGCCGCGCCTGGGCGGGCGTCTTTACAGAGGCCATCAGGTCGTTAAAGTGTGGTCAGCGGGGCGGGGGCGCCGGTCACCGCCGCCACAAAGGACAGCCGGGCCCTCAGAGGAGACAGCTTCCGCTGGCTGACGTGCTCCAGGGGACACCCCAGATTCGCAACACCCCACTCTGGTGTGCAGGCTGCTTGGAGGCGAGGGGCTGAGACATGGGCAGGAGCCCCCCAAGCCCCCCGTGGGGCTGGCCCGGCCGCGTGGACGTCCCGGCCTCTCCTGCCGCCTGGGCCTCCCCGTGACCTGCGCCAGGGGCCGCCGGTTCTCCCACTTGCCCACCTGGGCTGGCCGAGGGTGGCCCGAGCACAGAGCCGGCCCAGGCGGGGGCCTCAGGCTGTGGCCGGAGCGGGGCTGTGCCTGGGGGACCGGCCCGATGCTCTCAGGACTCCCACGTGCGTCTGCACCCCGACTCCCCCGTGGCCATCACGGCCTCCGAGCCCTTGTGTGGCTCAGGCCCCCGAGCGTCGTGAGCGTGCGGGCCGCCGCCGGGTGGGTCGCGG